GTTAAAAAGAAACATAGCAATTACAATAATTACAACCCCACAAGTTTGGCTCTTGATTTTCCATGGTTTCCCTTTTTCTGGTTTACCATCACCATGAATCTCACCATATTGACTGGCACGAATCTGATTTCCCAGGATCTCGTTTTGTCCAAAGCTGCCTCCATTGCTGACATGCAAACGGCCTTGGATTCACTGGTCATAGACCTTGCTGTGGCTTTAGAGCTGCAGCCGGGCTGGCTATGAAAACGGGTTGTTCTGATTGGTCAAGTGCCATGGGTATTCTGAGACGTGCCACAATAGTTGGGCAGATCCGTAAGATGATCTATGAAACTTAAGTTGAACATTGAGATCTAATGAACCGTTTTGCGATGATCTAGCCTCTCGAAATCAAAAATTGATATGAACAGCTGCAAGTCCAAATGGAAATCACCAACATACTGTGTATATAAATATATATATATACAGTATAGAGATGTAAGTGGTGGATTTGATATTGCCATAACTAGAGCTGCTAGAGGTTGGATAATCCCTTCAAAGCACGTGGAGATCTCCTGACTTCCTGTCATCACGGTACAGCTTTTACCACAGGAACAAACCCAAAATATGGGGTGAGATGGGTCCAACATGGTGAGAACTGGAGGCTCGTGATATTCGAAAGAGAAGACCGTTGCCCCATTTATACGGGTTATTGAGCAAATCCTGTGCACGAAACTGCCTCCTGGTCTTCTACTTTCCCTCTTTGGGACAGGGTGGCGTAACCAGATGTAACCAGCAACCGCTTCGGACCTTGGCATCGACTAATCTCCCAGAGTTGGATCTGAAGTTTACCCGTTTACCCCGTGAAACATGAAGGTTAGATACGGCGCTATGCGTGAGGCCCCGAAATCCTTTGTGCTTCTGTGGTTTTGATTCCAAAGCTTTGACTGATCCAAAGTACTTCGACCCAAAGTACTTCCAATCCAAGAGCCCAGGAGGCACAGTTGCCAAAAAAAAACAAGAGCATGGTTAAACTTAGCATTTCACTTCATATTTCACAGAAATGCTAAGTTTAAGTTACCATTTCATTTCTTAAAATGTTAACTTAAACTTCGAAGGTCTGGTCATGGTTCTTTATACGTCAGTCATATTTCACAGAGTTTCCTGTGAATTTTCCCCGAAACTGGATGGCCGCTGAGGTATACCATTCCAGATGAGCCTTTGAGGGCTGATACCATCTGGCCAATTATTGCATACTCCGCCAATCAGCGGCAATGGAGTTGGTATGCCGAAAACGGATGAACACGGGACACTTGATGGGTAGGATATGTTAGGATCACATTGGAAAATGACGTGTTATATTCATTTATATTCTTTATTATATGTATACTGTATATATATAATTATATATATATATATACACAGTACATCATTATATATAATTATATATATAATTATATATATAATTATATATATAATTATACATATACATCATTATATATAATTATATTAACATAACTCAACATATTTCAACATATCAGTATCATGATGTGAATTACATATGGTTTTTTAAAACTATTTTCATTCTTATCATATTTTAGTTCCTCAGATCAGATTGGTTGAAATCGTCCTGACGGGGGGGATATGGTGGGATAATAAAACTGATTCTGGGGGATCCAATCCCGGTTGAGAATGGAGCCGCTCCCGTGAAAAAAAGGTTCTTGTTTTGTAGGCAGCCAGTCGATACGGATAAGAAGGACAGATTTGGTCCAATATTCTAGATTCTTTTTTAGGAATGAATATCAAGATTCCGAACGGGGCTCCGATTACTACTCGTTCATTGATTTTTGGTAGTCGATTCATGATGATTCAGGCAATACCTATTGAAAATCATTCAGTTCTAATCGTTTGGTAACTGTTCATTGATTTTTGATCATCAGTAATTTTGAGACCCAGAATGCCATCTTTAGTGAGACCTTCAAAACTGGCACCTAGGTTTGTCTCAAAATGGTGGATGATTAATTGGAGGTTTCCTAAAATGGGGGTACCCCAAATCATCCATTTAATAGGATCTTCCATTATAAACCCTCTATTTTGGGCTAGCCCCATGACTGTGGAAAGCCCCATCTGATGGACCAGTGTTGATGGACAGCCGTGTCGATGAACCCGATGGACCTTGGTCGTCCCAGTCATCGAGCCATCCGAGGCCATTGCAGTTTTCGTGCTCTTTGTGGTCTGTTGTGCTTGCTTAGTTTCTTGTGCTGAGCTTTCTGAAATTTAAGCGGAAAGATAGGACACTCAAGCACTCAAAAAAAAACCAGATTGGAAAATCACTGGATTGGAAGATGTGACAGGGTTGTGAAATGG